ATTCTGTGGTAAAAACACAATGAATGGAAAATGGTGCCAACAGGACCTTCTGTAATACTGTTAAAGATCCATAGTCATGTCAATGGGAGTATTACCTCCACTAACTCAGGTCACAAAGTCTCCGTTCTCTAGTACACAAGTTGTCCAGAGTGGCTGTGAACTAAAATTTTCATCATTCTCTGGCCAGCCTAGGGATTAAGTTCTCCAGACTTAGCTAGGCTAAGCCTCTGTAAGGGAATATAGAATTTATCCTTCAGCCTGTACTTGGAAGGACCTGACAGATCTGTGCTCTCTTGTCATAGCCTTTGAGAAGGAAAGAAAACTTTCCCACCTTAAGGCAGCAATGGAAGAGTATCTTAATGAAGGAAGTAAGGAGTGTTTTACATGCATTTCTTGATCTCATATAAATTGAAAGCCAAAGCTATATAATGTTAACTTCTGTTTATGCTATTTTATGTCTTTCCTATCAAAGAAATCCCCAGGAAGCATATTATATATATAGAATACCCCACCAAACAACTGTGATACTTTGTTGAAATCCCTGCAGAGATGCCACTGGGAGTACAGGTAGCAATCATTGCTAGCTTCACATGTAATCAAAACCATGAACGTGCCTTACGATTAAGCTATGTGGGGATGCCCCCCATAAGTTGAGCATCATGGTATGGTTTTAGCAATGCCACAAAGTCCTGCCTTAAAAAAATTCCCACCATCAGTCCAATGTGGTACTGCCATAACTCACTACCTGGCCTGAGATCCCTATCATAAAAGGCAATCCTTTAGATTTGAAAATAAAGATAAGGATATTGTCTCTTGAAGGACACTATTACAACATACATATATTATTTGGATAGAGAGTAGGCTCAAAAGTATTTTATGTATGTGTGAGGGAGGTGGACAAAGGAAGGGAATTGTATCTCTTTCTTATCCCAGTTGTTGATTAGAATTCATTAGTTCTCAAATTAATCAATTATTACCACCTTGTCAAGTGAGAACAAGTCCTAGGCCTTAGGACACTGGAAGGAAATAAAAATTGGGAGGACAATTTTTATCTATTTTACATTTTGTTTTAGAACCAACGTTGATGACAAAAGTGAACCCTTAAACTGGTGAATATGTTCAATATTCAATGTATTCCAGTTCCCTCTTTCTCTTCTTTTAAGTCTCACATTCTTCTCCTTTTCTTGGCATTGTATTTTTCCTTATCCAGGAATACTACATGGTAATGTATAATACAGGCACTCATGAAATATTTGTTCACTGCTGTGTTGTTAAATCCTGATATATTTCTAGTATCATCTATTTATTGAAGCTACACATTGTGCTGGATAACTCCTCTTCTCAAATTTCCCTGAATATTTTATCTGGAATTCTCCATTATTCCCCCCATAAAATACTCTAACTTTTAGTATCCTTAACTCTGTGCACCTCATATTCCCTCTATTGAAATGTAAGCTTCCTAATGATAGCGATTGTGCCATTTTATCTTTGTATCACCAATGTCTAACACAGCGCCTTGAACATTGTAAATGCCTAAGGATTTTTTTACTGCACCAAGTTGGCCCAAATTATCTCCACAGAATATGAATATCTTTTAGATCAAAATTATAAACAACGGGTGTGATGGAAGAAGCTGTAGCCAAAATAACTGACCTAATTTCCCTCCTCCTTCCTTCCTCCCTCCCTCCCTCCTCCTTTCTCTCTCTCTCTCTCTCTCTCTCTCTCTCTCTCTCTCTCTCTCTCTCTCTCTCTCATTTTCTCTCTGGTCTTTATATCACTGCAGATCTCCTCATTTACCATATGATTCTCACTCAAAGTGAGAAAAAAGATGGAAATCAGGACAAACTGTGATAAACTGCAAATAAAATTTAAACACACATAGGTGCAGAAAAATCTAATGGGAACCCATGTAAAGTGGTCATTCATGCTTAGCAGTATATCATCTAACAGACCTTTTTCTAACAATACACTCACATTATAAACAAAGCAATTTAGACCTTTTCTACTCTAGAAAGGTGAAATATTAACAAATTCTGGGACCTCTCCAAGGTCAAACACTGTTCTTCTGCAAGAGAGTGCCAACTTTTCAATTATATATCCACACTTATTCTCTTAGGTTGCCTCAGGCCCCAGAGACAGCTTTGTCCACTAAATAACCCTTTCATTCTCAGTTACTAATCACATTCTGGTTGATAAATTATTTTTAATCTAAGTAGGTATATTTTCCAGACTGTGCTAGAGGCTTTGGTGTAGACAAGGAAAAACAAACAAGCAACCTTGGTTACATCATGCTGTCAAGGTTAATGTCTCAGGAAGTGACCAAGCGTTGATTAAGGATTAACAGGCCAGATGGTCAAGAAGGAGAAAAAACGGCAAATTTCTGAAGAGCTGCCTAGGTTTTCTATATCTCTTTCCAGGAGATCCTGAGCAAACTGAAGGTGAAGGAGGTGCCTATTCCTTCACTTCTTCTGCCCCAATCAATTCAATTAATTAAGCATTTATTAAGTGCCTACTACATGCAAGTTATTGTGCTTGGTGTTGAACTTTGAGAAATCAGAATGAAGAAGCAAAATCAATATACATACATACAGATATGCAAGTACAGATGCATATGCATGTACAGGAATATATGTGTATATATTAAATTCTCTGAGTCTGGCAAAGTAAAAAAAGGGAACTATAGGGAAAAGCTTTAGGTCAAGGTGAGGCATCTTAAAGACGGGGGAAACTTGGGAATGACTGTAGGAAACAGCCGAGAGAACTTCTCCTGCCTCCAAGTCTCTGGGTCTCTGGTTGCCTCCTCTCACTCCCATCACTCCCCACACACATCACTCAAGAAGTAGTATCTACTCTATTCTCAACCTTCCTCTTATAACTCTGCCCCCTAATTCCCACACTTCAAGATGACCTATCACTCTCAAAGTCTACCACTATTTCACTCACTTAGTAACCAATTTTCCTCCACTTCCTTATTCCTATTGAGGGTAACACCATCCATCTAGTAAGCCAGGCTTAAAAACTTGAAACCATCCTAAATTCTTCCCTCTCCACCATCTCTCATTATATCCAACCAGCTGCCAACTCCTGCGATTTCTACCTTTACAACATCCCTCACATCTGTCCACTTCTTTCTAATCTCACAGCCATCACACTAGTTCAGGCCCTCATTATTTCTTGCATGGATTAGTGCAATAGCTTTCACAGTGAGGAGCCAACCCATCACTCCAAACTAATTTCACATGATTTCCCTTCACAGATTCTACATTCCATCTAGATTGGCATGCAAGTGTTCTAAAACCACTACGTAATTTCATCAGGTTCATCAATGTTGTACCACTTTCTCTCTGCTGAACCTCAGTTTAGCCATCTGTGAGATGAGTGTATGGAATTAGTTGATCTCTCAGGTCTCTTGTAGGTCTAAAGTTCTATGATTTTATTGTTTTAATTTTATTTAATATAGTTACCTAGAGGGATAATTCCTACTATCTGATGACTTATGAAAAAAGTATATGAACAAGTAGGAATATTGCCTAAAAAAAATTCATTTGCTGTTTCATGAGCTCTGGATGAAGCTAGTTTCTAGTTACTGTTCAATAAAAAATTTTATTAGGTGTATTCTACAATAAAGCTATGCTATAAGGTGATTACCAGAACTGTCATTTGGTAGTGGTGACAGAAAATAATCAGCAAGGCTTAATGTAATAACAATTATCTCCCAATGTATTTTTTCTTACAACAAAAGGACATGCTCATTGTTTTTGCAGAACATTTGACTTCCTTAATCAAAAGTTAATGAGAGGGGCTGACAACAATAAACACCTAATGAAAGACTTTCCAGAAGATTAGGCCTGAATATTAAACAGATATTTAAAGTGGGAGGGAATGCTGCGTGTACGGGGGCATACAGTTGTCCTTGCTTTATTAAAATGAGAGCCAATAGGAATTGTGGTAGTTCCATCCAAGGACCAAATCTGTCTTACTTTCATATCAAGATTTTTATGGGAATGGGTACTGGAGTCTGAACCCTCCCCCCAAAAACACAAGGAATTCATTATCCTTGTCAGGGAGCAGGAAAAAGCCTGTTATGTTTGGTGCCTGTGAGCCTGAAGATGCTCTGGTTTTTCCCACATTTTAATTGGGAAGCTTAAACATGTGCCTCATGCTTCTTTAAACTGAGCATCCTCCAGAAATCTATGAGACATCCCTAACTCTTAATCACTGGGGTGATGAAAGAGATGCAAATAAGTCTTAAATAACTGTCATCCCAGGAGTTTCCTGTTAAAATCTTTTCTCAAACTAGTCAGTCAGGACTGTCTATTCTGTTCTACTCTATTGAGCACTGGTGAACAGACAGAAATATGGGGATGGGGAGTTCCTTCTCACACCTACCCACCTACCATTCTCTCTCAGACATTGAGTGACATGTAGTCCAAAAGCTTCTCTTTCATCATTCCCCTGAGGCTACAGAGAAAGGAAGAGAGTCAAGAAGCTGTCACTCCAAACACCAGGATATCATATCAACAATTTCACCTCCATGCCCATCCTTGTCTTTAGTATTCAACTAGACTTCCACCTTTCATAACTAAGTCACAGAACAATAGAGCTAGAAGGAAACCTAGGGGTTGTCTAATTCAGCCCCCTCATCTTACAAGATGGAAACTGAGTCTAGAAAGGGGAAGTAACTTGCCGAGAGTCACACAGGTAAATAGGTATCAGAGCCAAGACTTCAATAATGGACTTTTGACTCCAAAGCCAGTACTTCTCCCATTATGTACACTCTATGTCACCATATATACCACCATAATCCCCCATCATTTCCTCAATACACATAGATATGTATGAGCATATGGCCAAACACAGACATATATTTTTATTGATTTTTAACAAAGTAAATTTTCATCTTCAGCAGATGGTTTCAACAAGAAAATAAAATTCATTTGTGAATTGGAGGAGGCCCATGATGCCTTCATTAACTGTTCTTTTTCTCAAAGGATGCTTACCCTATGGATATCCTGTTTGGGAACTCCACGCAGGCTGCAGTAATAATGAAGATGTTCCCAGCCAGTAAGAAACTCATCCAAGGCATCTTTCTGGGGACAGTAGCCAATGAGAATGCCTGCAGCACCAGAAGAAGACAGGACCATTTCGTCCCTATTGAGAGAAAAGCAAAATGTGACAACTGATTTTAAAAATACTTTTGAATTCTTCATCTTCAGAATGCTGTATCTCTCCTTCAAGGCATTTCTTGGGTTTATTCCTGAACAATATTAGAGCTCCATGGGATCCTTACTATATTATCAACTGAATTATCTTAATATAACTTTAAATGACACATGCCATGTCTGTAGTACTATGATAAACATTTGACAGAAATGAAAAAAAATTAGAACAGAAAACACTGCTTAAATTCTCCAAAATGTAAGTACAAAATAAACTATATCCAACAAAACTTCTGTTAAATATGGCTAAAAGCATATTGCACCAGATCCTGCTGAGTTAATGGGTTAGCCATTAAGCTTTAAAGAAACAAAAGTATCAAATTACCATTTGCCAAATTACTACCTTGGGTACCAAGTGTTAAGGGGGATTGAAGGGATGGCCAATGAAAATTTAACTTACGTTCAAAGTTTATTCATATAGATAGCAGGTAAACGGCAGGAAGGGAAGGTGGGCAGAACATAACAATAATACCTTTCATTTATATAGCACCTTATGGTTTATAATGGGCTTTCCTTAAAACTGCCCTAGCCTGACAGTAATAGTCTAAGTGTTCCTTTTTTTTGGAGAGCAAGCTCTACCTTAGAAATGTCAAATGACTTATCTACAACCCAGAGTTAGTAAATGAAACATCTGAGATACAGGTACATCAAAACACTGATAAACCAAAGGTAAAATGTACTCCTCCATCATAGCACTAGGTAAGGTGAGTTTACTTTCAGAAGTGATATAGAGTAGGTACAGAGTTTGGGAGGTCTGCAGCAAGGAGGCTGAGTCACAGTATGCAGATAAATGCTATTCAATATCATTCTTCCGAACCACCAGATCAAGCCAAAAAGGTTGATAAACACTTTATTGAAATTCCCCTGTGACTCCCTGCCTTACCTCATGACATTTAGATCAAACTTCAAAGCTTGAGATTTGTCACAATAAACTATCTTGAACCATAATAACAGATATCAGAGAGTGGAAAGTGGGGACTGTTTCCCCTAAATAGATCGTAGGATCACTGACGTAGAGCTGCAAAGGACCTTACTGTCCATTTAGTCCATTACCCTTATTTTTTCAGAGATGAGGAACTGAGGTTCAAAGAATTTAGGTGATTTTCCCAAGGTCACATAGCTTATACATGGTAGGCATTGGACTAAATCTCTGGCTCCAAATCGAATACTCTTTCCACTATATGATGCTGACAAACATATTCATTTATGTAGTACATTATATATTAATATGTTTGTAGTAGCAAAGAATTAGAAATAAAAATTAAAGTCCATAAATGTTTTAAAAAGCTAAAACAAATTGTGGTAAATGAATGCAAAAGAATATGAATATAAGAAACAACAAATAGGAAGACTTATATGAACTGATGCAGAAGGAAATAAGTAAATTGGGAAGAAAATGCACAGTGATTACAAATAATGCCAATGGATTTTGAGGGTTAGAGCCAAGATGGCAGAGTAAAAGCAGTGACTTGCTTGAGCTCTCCCCCAAACCCATCCAAACACCTGTAAAAAATGGCTCTAAACAAACTCTAAAGGAGTGTAACCCATAAAAAGACAGAGTGAAACAAATTTACAGTCCAAAACAGCCTGGACAGTTGATCAGAAAAGTATATCGTGCCGGGCAGGGAGAGGAACGCAGTTCAGCATGGGCACACTGGCAAAACAGGCCTCAGCAAACCTGGAGCAGGCCTCAGAGGACTGAATCACCGGCAGTTGTGGTGGTTTCCAAACTTCTAAAACCACAAGCACTGAAGACAAGTTAGAAGGTCAGTGGGAGGAGTCTGTGACTGTGGTGAGAGAGAAGGGTGGTCCCAGCCCCAGTTGCCAAGCTGGACCCTGGCTTCTGGAGCTTCTGGCCTACGGACTGAGGGGGAATCCAGTGGCTGATCAGAGGGGGATTGCAGGGATCTCTTTGCTGGTGCAGGATTCTCTTGCTTTGCTCATACTTGGATCTGGGTCACAGTTCTGGGTGGCAGGCCTGGGGGTGGGAGGAGTGCTGCCATGGTGGAGCTTGTGGTGGTGCAGTTGAGGGAATCTTCCTCCCAGTTCCAAGGCAGAAAATAGTGCTTGCGGTCACTCATAGACCAGAACACAGGCCAGGAAAGGAGGAAGCACCTTGCACTTATCATACCACCTTGGAAGAACTGAAAATTTACAGGTCCCTAGAAGTATCTCTGAAAACACCTGCACAAAACCCCTGAAGCTTGGGACAGTACATTCTCTACACTGGAAGCAGAACCCTACCTTAACAAAGAGTTTAAAACTCAAGTAATTGGCTGGGATCATGAACAAACAAAGGCACAAAAAAAATCAGACTGCAGAATCTTTCTTGGGTAGCAAAGAAGATGAAAACATAAAACCAGAAGAAGACAACAAAGTCAAAGCTCCTACATCCAAAGTCTCCAAGAAAAATGCGAATCAGCCATGGAAGAGCTCAAAAAGGATTTTGAGAAACAAGTAAGAGAAGCAGAAGAAAAACTGTGAAGAGAAATGAGAGTGACACAAGAAAATCGTGAAAAACAAGTCAACAGCTGGCTAAAGGAGACCCAAAAAAATACTGAAGAAAATAACACCTTAAAAAAAATCCTTACCCAAATGGTAAAAGAGATCCAAAAAGCCAATGAGCAGAAGAATGACCTAAAAAGCACAACTGGCCAAATGGAAAAGGAAGTCCAAAAGCTTATTGAAGAAAATACTTCCTTAAAAATTAGAATGGAGCAACTGGAAGCTAGTGACTTTATGAAAAATCAAGACACTGTAAAACAAATCCACAAGAATGAAAAAAAAAAAAGAAGAGAATGTGAAATATCTCATTGGGAAAACAGCCGACCTGGAAAATAGATCCAGGAGAATTTAAAAATTATTGGATTATCTGAAAGCAATGATCAAAAAAAAAAGAGCCTAGCCATCATCTTTCAAGAAATTATCAAGGAAAACTGTGATAGAAATTAAAAGAGTCCACTCATGACCTCCTGAAAGATAGCCCCAAAGGAAAACTCATAGGAATATTTTAGCCAAATTCTGGAGTTCCCAGGTCAAGGAGAAAATATTACAAGCAGCCAGAAAGAAACAATTTAAGTATTGTGGAAACAAAATCAGGATAACACAAGATTTAGCGGCTTCTACATTAAGGAACTAGAGGGCATGGAACACATATTCCAGAGGGCAAAGGAGATAGGACTACAACCAAGAATCACCCACCCAACAAAACTGAGTATAATCCTTCAGGAGAAAAAAAATGGTCATTCAGTGAAAGAGGGGACTTTCAAGCATTCTTGATGAAAAGACCAGAGCTGAATAGAAAATTGAACTTTTAAATACAAGACTCAAGACAAGCATGAAGAGGTAAACAGGAAAGAGAAATCCTAAGAGACTTATTAAAATTGAACTGTTTACATTACTGCATGGAAAGATGATATTTGTAACTCATGAGACCTTTGTCAGTATTAGGGTAGCTGAAGGGAAAAAATTATATGTATGTAGATAGATAGATAGATAGATAGATAGATAGATAGATAGATAGATAGATAGATAGAAAGTAGAGGGTACAGGGTAAGTTGAAGATGAAGGGGTGATATCTGGAGAATAAATTAAGGGATGAGAGAGGATTACACTGGGAGAAGGAGAAAGGGAGTGGTAGAATGAGGTAAATTATCTCACATAAACCAGACAAGAAAAGGCTTTTACAGTGGAGGGGAAGTGGGAGAAGGTGAGAGGGGATGAGTGAATCTTATTCTCACAGGATTTGGCTTAAGGAGGGAATGACATACACACTCAATTGGGGATGGAAAATCTTACCTACAGGAAAATAAGGGGGGAAGGGGACAAGAGAACAGGGTGATAGATTGGAGGGCAGATTGGGGGAGGGGGTAATCAGAAGCAAACACTTCTGAGGAGAGACGGGGTCAAAAATGAGAATAGAACAAATGGGGGGTGGGATTGGATGAAAGGAAATATACATAGTTTTTCACAACATGACCACTATGGAAGTGTTTTTCATGACTACACATGCATAACCTGTATCGAGTTGCTTGCCTTTTCAATGAGGGTGGGTGAGGGGAGGGAGGAAGGGAGAAAATTTGGAACCCAAAGTTTTAAAAACACATGTTAAAAAATTGTTTTCACGTGCAACTGGGAAATAAGAAATACAGGAAATGGGGTATAAAAATCTATCCTGCCCTACAGGAAAATAGAAAGGGAAGGGGATAAGAGAAGGGGGTGAGATAGAGTAGAGGGCAGATTAGGGGAAGGAGTATTCAAAATGCATGCCTTCTTTGGGTAGGGGGGAGGGATGAGATGGAGAGAAAATTTGGAACTCAAAATCTTGTGGAAGTGAATGTTGAAAACTAAAAATAAATAAATTTTTAAAAAAATAATGCCAATGGAAATAACCAAAAACAAAACAAAACTGCAGGCTCTGTAAATTTAATGAATAAGAAGTTTAACCTTAAGGAAAAGTTGAGAAAATGCACCTCCCTCCTTTCTTTGCAGAGGTAGAAGACTGTGGATGTGTAGCAATGCATAAGCTGTCAACCCTGATTGATACATTGGTTTTGATAAACTATTTTCTACTTTCTTTTAAAATTTTGTTTAATTTTTTGTTGTTGTGAGAATGAATGGCTCTATGAGGAGGGATGGAGGTAAGGATATCTTTGGAATTAAAGATAAATATAAAAATAAAGGATAGCAATCATTTTAAAGTGCTGATTATATTTTATTTGTGAAATATGCTAGAATTTGTTTATAAGGCTTTCCATAGGGACAATTGCAGATAGTGTTAGACAGAGATCTTCTCCTGGTTCTTTCTAGATATGGCCTAAGAGAGACATATTGAATTCCACAAATAGAGGGTTGTGTTACAGCGAGCTTCTATGCTTGGGTAAAGTAGTATTGTTAAGCTTAAAAACATAATAAATTTACTATGAGGACACT